TTAAAAAACACACACACACAAGTATATATCTAGGCACTGGCTGTCAGGGTTGTGGATGGTCAGTGTGTATATGACACCTAGGATTCTCACTTACACATGGTGGCGGGCCCCAGAATTAATGGCTGATGTAGAGAACATCTGTTTGTGGTAAAAGGTTGGTCCACATATGATAGTTTAACTTTAAACTCAGTCTTGTGAAGTGTTTCCCAACCTTTTTTCAGTCACGACACCCTTTGAAGTATGCAAAATTTAAAGGCACCCCAGTCTAAAATGTAAAAAAAGTAAATATAGAAATGTAAAACATTATGTGGGGACTCTCCAAAATCCATACCAGAGATATTCCCATACTCCCTTTTTTCACATCAGAGTCCCCCTTCCCATCAGGAGCCCCTATTTCATATCATAGTCTCCCCTTTCAAATCAGAGTTCCCCCTTCACATCAGGAGCCCTCTTCAAATCAGAAGCCCCCTTCCATTACATCAGGAACCCTCTTTTTTACATCGGAAGCCCCCTTCCTTTACATCAGAAGCCCCCATCTCACATCAGAGTTCTCCCTTCACATAAGAACCTCCTTTTACATCTGAGTCTTCAGTCCCCACTTCACATCAGAGTCCTCCTATCACATCAGGCAGCATGGCAGAGCAGGGCTGTAGATACATTTTTTTCCTGGGGGGGGGTTCAGCTTCCTCAAATTATAAGATTTTATGTAGCAGACACACCAAGGTTTGAAAAAAATATACCGGCCATATCATTCCTAAACCAATCCTTTACCCTGAGCAATACCGATTTTGTTGTTCGACACCATATGGATAAAAACCATGTTTTCAAAAGACTTATAATTGGTACCAATTCACACAAACCACTTAGTATACACTTATTGGGATTTTTTTTACCACAAATATTTAGCAGAATACATTTTGGCCTAATTTTAGGAAGAAATTTAATTTAATTTTATATTTTGTATAACAAAAAGTTGAAAATATTTATTTCCACAATTTTTTGTCTTTTTTCATTCATATAAATTTTTTTTATAAAAACCAGCAGCGATCAAATAGCACCAAAAGAAAGCTCTATTTGGGTAAAACGTGCACGGCCGTATTGGGCAGCTCCCAGGAAGGACAGGTGCTGTGTGTGATTAGTACGCAGCCCCTGTCCTTCTCTATAGAAGTACATGACCATACGCCGCCCTACGCTCACCCCAAGAGCAGGTCCGTATGGGTGCGGGTGTCCCGTCTTGGAAGCAGACAGGATCCATCCTGTCAGCGTACGAGTACCCGCACAGACGTGCAGGGTGGGTGAGCGTAGGGCGGCATACGGCCACGTACTCGGGAGCTGCCAGATACGGCCGTGCACGCAGCACGGAGCTGTGCGTGCCGGCTGTTTCTCATGTGAATGAGGCCTAAGAGACATCCTTTAAGGTAAGTCCCTACAGTAGGATTGGGAAGGGGGAAAAAAAAGTTTAACTTTATTGTCACTTTAAGATGTGTGAGGCTAAAAGATACCTGCTACCACAAGGGAGCTGGTCCCATGTCCCCCAATTTTACAGGCGTCACCTGCAGATCCCAGACTGGTCAAGACTTTGAATGCAAATCACCTAAATGCTTTTCATTTTGATATAGTGTATATTTGCATTGTGCATTTTTCAACCTTTAATAAAGCAGTCAGCATTGAGCACCCTGTATTTGGACTTCACTGCATTAATTATAGATATACATAAGGATCTTAAAGCAACTTACTGGCACAGCAATGGTTAACCTCCTCCCCCCTGTCAGCTCACACTACTGTACACAGTCCCCCCCTGGCTCAAGCTGATGTCGGCTGGTGATGGGGGCGGGGCAGCCCTGCTCTGTGTTCAGCCTGGCCGCTCTGTGCTCTTTCATCACTCGAGCTGTCAGAGCTGGCCATCGTACGTAGCGGGCTGAGCCGAGCCGAGCGAATGCCAGGCTTCCCTGATGATGTTCAGTTGTTAGTGCCTTGTACTAGGCACTAACAGGACTGAGGACCTATTTTTTCATATTTGATCCAGTAAAAGGGAATGGATTTCAGAAATCTCACCTCCAGATATTCTCAGGAGATATAAGGAACCATTAGGCAATTTAATTGTACAGCATCTACCTAAAACTGACATATTGGTTTTAGGGGGATTGGCTCTTTAATATTTAAGTATCTGGATCTGTTTTATCTATAAAGCTATTTCTATAGTTTTGTTATTATTACTTGTACAGAGGTATAGATTCGGAAGGCATTGATAGTTAGCTGAAGTAGTGTCTCTCTCTGGTACCCCAACGTGTAGGATTGTTAACTTATTTTTGACATTAGGACATGTAATGCTTGTTTTCTGTGTCTAGCAGTCTGCATGACAGTGAATAAGGGGAACGGTGTGAATCACAAAAGCTTTTCCATTCTTCAGTTGACTGAAAGGTAATAATGTTACCAATAGCACTTTATGTTCCTCTTAGAGCCGGGATCCGCAAAAATCAATTCTTCTAATACACTCTTTTGTGTATAACACTGGTAAACTCAGCTATTTGTGTACAAAATTCCTCTGTTAATACATTTACAAGTACAGACTGTATAAGTGTATTTACAAAGATTATATATTAAATTCTAATAGAAATCTTCTCTGGTGTGTTAGCTTGCAGTATTGTGGCAGAATGTTTATCCTACAAGCTGTCGCATAGTCATATGCTTGTATTACATACACCTGCATGTCTATGTACTGGGCAGACATACTGGATCCAAGGTAATATTGGGTAGGAATAGATTATTGGCTAAAATAAAAAAAAGGCCCAAGAATTTGCCCCTAAACAGCAAATAATCTAGGTTCATCCTTTGTCTACCCATAGACATTTAGATGTTGCTTGACCTAGCTGAAATCAACTTGTGGTGATACGCAACTTTCTAGAACTGCCTTAGATCACAACTTTGTTTATATAACCAGATACTATCTATAGCCCAAACTTTTCTTTTGGTTTTAGAAAGCATAGGGAAGGATTAGTACTCCTGTCAGCGTTTTACTGCTGTCTGTGTCAGGTGAGATTGGTAACAGGATTGGTGACTTGTTTAGACTGTAATACCGTAGCCTTTTTCATGTACTTTAAGCTGTTTTAACAGTGAAGCTGTGATTCATTCGTATTCCATCCACATCAGAGCAAACGTTGTGCTAGGCCGAAAGGCCCCCATGGCAGCTGCTCAGTCTCCTACCTAAATGCAGGCAATGCATCCTGACTGCACCTTTTTTTCTATGAGAATTATTTGGGTGACCATTATTGGGTGACCATTAGAAGAACTGAACGCAGGATGGTCTTACAGACTTACACCACAATATTTCTGGCAGGCAAAACAGCACATTTATAGCAATGCAAGAGTGGCGCTTATTACAAATGCCCATTGGTGACTGGTTCTCTTTAAGGCAATACTTGGTGTGACTTCATAAGAGGCACAGGGTGAACATCTAAGCATGTCTTCGTATCATTTTTAAACAATCAACATCTGTTGATAGATCCAAGCAGATTAATTTTTTTTTATATAATGCTTTATACTGTAAAACCTGGATTGAAGTCATCATTACCAATGCTGTGTGCTCTGTTAATCTTTTTATGACCACTTAGCTAGGCAACATAAGTTGTTGTTATCCTTAGTCATGTGTGAAATCATGACAGTTTAGCATGAAATCGGTGTCTAGCAGAGACGATCAGACCACTTATCTGTAAACCCCAAAACATGTGCATGTTTGCAGCACAGTGTAAATGGTATTCCTATGAATGGTGGCTATAGTGCCTACTATAAGATATTACATTGAAAACATTCTGTATACACTATGTAACTAAAAACACAGCTTTCTATCCTGCATTCCATTAAAGTTTAACCCAAAGTCTGGGGTCCATTAAAGTGGAACCCAAACTGTTATTTTACTAGTTTTAGATACAGTAGGGAAGGGTTAGAATCTCTTTCAGGCTTTTATTTATGGCTATGCCTTCACTGGAAAGATTTACCCTCACCATCTCTTATGGTGACCTTTGTCACTAGGACAGAAAGGTAAGGGAAATTGCAAATGTTTGGCACAGGTACAAGCAGGGGTGTATCTACTGCAAGGCAAACTCGGCATTTGCCTAGGGCAGCACTTTCCAAGGGGGCACCAAAAAATGCTGTCCCCAAACCAGTTAGGTAAGAGAAAAAAAAATTATATTATAAATTATTCATAAATTACTGCCAGTACCCCTGGTCCTGGTGCTTCTTTGACTGGGGGACCAACGCGTCCACCTATGCTGCCTACTCCTACATATATGCCGGCTGCAGCTCCTTCCTCTTCCTGGTCAACATGCTGTGCAATGTATTGGTGTGTGTGGCTTTCGTCCGCATGCACTGGCAGTTTGTGCGCCGGACCTCCCCTGGGAAACCAGCACCCAAATCTCTGACTTCAGGCAGTGGAGGACCCCAGGGCTGAGATCCAGATGGTCATCGTACTCATTGGCACCTCCGTGGTGGTGAGTCTGGGGAAGTGCAGCCTATAAGCTCCGTGCAGGGTTATGTCTCTAGAGAGGGGCAAGCTACAGAGCCCAGCGGCCAAGGCAGAAGATGGGTAACTGCAGAATTAGACTGACAGGTTATGCAAAATGTCTTAAACAGGAAGGGGTGGGACTAGGGATGGGAGGGTGCTCATGTTTAGTCTTGCCTAGGGCAGCACATAACCAAAATACACCACTGGGTACAGGGATAGAAGGGAAATCTTCCAATCTCTATAACTTTGACAACTGTCTAAGAGGGTATTCCTGTTTTGTACAGTTGTCTTAGGTCAAAAACTCACAAAGTGTTAAATCCAGGGGAGCAGCAAGGCAGCCAGGTTACTGGCACTGCAGTTTACATATTACTTTTCCTAAAAATATTCTATTAAACATGGTAACATTTGTATCCCCAGACTGACGTAGACTGGCATGTTTTAAAGTTTTTGGTTGTCAAGTAGTTCACGGTGTAGGGTTTTTGGTGCCAAGTAAACTGGCATTCCTACACCCCCTGATCCCTAACCTTAACCCAGCCTTTCTCAAGCAGGCTGCCGTGGCACCCTTTGGTGCCTTCTGCCTTTCTCAAGGATGCCTCAAAATGTTTACACAGCGTCATGCTTTTGATGTAAAAGAGGGGGACTCTGATGTGAAGGGGGGCTTCTGATTCGAAGAGTGTTTCCTAGTATGAGGGGACTCCTGATGTAAAGGGTGACTCTTGTGTGAAAGCTGCCACTCTGATTGTGTTCTTGTGTTAATTTTAGACTGGAGTGCCTCTAGATTTTATTTATTTTTAAAGGGTGCCGTGAAATAGGCTTGAGCAACATTGCCTTAACCTGACCCTCAATCCTAACTCTAACCTTAACTATAATACCTAACACAATGTTAGTCAAATTCTAATTTATACTTTGCTTTTCTTTGGCAAATGTATGAGGCTTTACTGTTTAAGGACTGCTGCCAAAAGCACACACTCTCTGCACTTAAACTGATCAACACAGCTATGTCAACGCTAAAAAAATCAGCATTTCGTTAAGTACATTGTAACTTACCATTTGTCAGGCGGTCAAACAGGAAAATGTCGAAATTCCACATTCCCACTTTAGATAGCATATGCTATGAAATAAGACAAAATAGAAATTGATGCTTTTGTTTTCAGCTTTTTTTGCATATAAGTCTCTAACAGAAAATTACATAAATGCTGCATAGATTGTTAGATAATTCAAGACATGAGCTGTGCTATGTTGTAGGGAATTGGAATCACATAAGCCATATAACTTATTTTGATGTATGAGCTGTTCAGTTAGAAAGCCATTCCTGCTGTAATAGTAATGAAACATTCACGTATGTTTAGATTACTCCCATCTGTTCGAAGGGTCACTGGTACATCTATGCTACTCAGGCAATTGGTTTTGCTTAACCTCCTGTGTTGAATGTGAATCTTACAAACTCCTCTCAAATCCTGACATGACTTCACAAACCTTATTTGATGTAAATGATATGGGGAAATTGAAATTGGTAGATAGTAGATCTTTTTCACAGTCAAATTTGCACCTTATTATTTTTTTTTTTATCTCTAGGTTGAGTATTTTATTATTCCTTAATTCTGACTGTTTCCCAACACTTTACAGTCCTAAGAATTCCTTTCTGCTTCTATGAAGATCCTCAAGCTCTGTAAATGAGCCCTTAACCAAGGTGGCATGCAGGGTACGTAGGACACAAAGTATTCAAAGGTTGTGTTACACTAATATATGCACAAGTGGCTCCAAGCTCAGTACTGTGATTGACTTCAAACTCAATACAAATTAGTAAACTAAACATGAGGTTGTGAGTGGTGAGCTTGGAGTGGTCACTATTTTACAACACATACCATGGGGAACAAAAAGGAAGGAGAGTGTCAGCACTGAGGATCTACTGCCAAGTGATACAGAAATAAGATACATTTTTGTTAATAGTTAAGGTACTTGAATGCATTTTTAAGATTTAACTTCTGAGTTTGTCAGTTTAAATATTATTACAATATGATGATAATGATATGCAAGGTTCAAGCATAATATTTTATATAATGTTCCTTTATGGTAAAACACATTTTAGTTTATATAACCCATGATACTTTCTTATAGTCCTCATTTAAAAGAAAGGTCAAATATGACTTTTAATAACAAGATACAGGTTAACAGTTACGGCATTTACCTCGACAGAAGTCTTGCCTAGTGCTCAGGCTTGGGTAGGTTCAGATTTTATGCTACGGCCAATGTAAGGGCTTTAGGCTCTGGTCACACCACACACACACACACACACACACACACACACACACACACACACACACACTTTAGAATATATGCCTCTCAAGCAGGCTGCCGTGGCACCCTTTGGTGCCTTCTGCCTTTCTCAAGGATGCCTCAAAATGTTTACACAGCGTCATGCTTTTGATGTAAAAGAGGGGGACTCTGATGTGAAGGGGGGCTTCTGATTCGAAGAGTGTTTCCTAGTATGAGGGGACTCCTGATGTAAAGGGTGACTCTTGTGTGAAAGCTGCCACTCTGATTGTGTTCTTGTGTTAATTTTAGACTGGAGTGCCTCTAGATTTTATTTATTTTTAAAGGGTGCCGTGAAATAGGCTTGAGCAACATTGCCTTAACCTGACCCTCAATCCTAACTCTAACCTTAACTATAATACCTAACACAATGTTAGTCAAATTCTAATTTATACTTTGCTTTTCTTTGGCAAATGTATGAGGCTTTACTGTTTAAGGACTGCTGCCAAAAGCACACACTCTCTGCACTTAAACTGATCAACACAGCTATGTCAACGCTAAAAAAATCAGCATTTCGTTAAGTACATTGTAACTTACCATTTGTCAGGCGGTCAAACAGGAAAATGTCGAAATTCCACATTCCCACTTTAGATAGCATATGCTATGAAATAAGACAAAATAGAAATTGATGCTTTTGTTTTCAGCTTTTTTTGCATATAAGTCTCTAACAGAAAATTACATAAATGCTGCATAGATTGTTAGATAATTCAAGACATGAGCTGTGCTATGTTGTAGGGAATTGGAATCACATAAGCCATATAACTTATTTTGATGTATGAGCTGTTCAGTTAGAAAGCCATTCCTGCTGTAATAGTAATGAAACATTCACGTATGTTTAGATTACTCCCATCTGTTCGAAGGGTCACTGGTACATCTATGCTACTCAGGCAATTGGTTTTGCTTAACCTCCTGTGTTGAATGTGAATCTTACAAACTCCTCTCAAATCCTGACATGACTTCACAAACCTTATTTGATGTAAATGATATGGGGAAATTGAAATTGGTAGATAGTAGATCTTTTTCACAGTCAAATTTGCACCTTATTATTTTTTTTTTTATCTCTAGGTTGAGTATTTTATTATTCCTTAATTCTGACTGTTTCCCAACACTTTACAGTCCTAAGAATTCCTTTCTGCTTCTATGAAGATCCTCAAGCTCTGTAAATGAGCCCTTAACCAAGGTGGCATGCAGGGTACGTAGGACACAAAGTATTCAAAGGTTGTGTTACACTAATATATGCACAAGTGGCTCCAAGCTCAGTACTGTGATTGACTTCAAACTCAATACAAATTAGTAAACTAAACATGAGGTTGTGAGTGGTGAGCTTGGAGTGGTCACTATTTTACAACACATACCATGGGGAACAAAAAGGAAGGAGAGTGTCAGCACTGAGGATCTACTGCCAAGTGATACAGAAATAAGATACATTTTTGTTAATAGTTAAGGTACTTGAATGCATTTTTAAGATTTAACTTCTGAGTTTGTCAGTTTAAATATTATTACAATATGATGATAATGATATGCAAGGTTCAAGCATAATATTTTATATAATGTTCCTTTATGGTAAAACACATTTTAGTTTATATAACCCATGATACTTTCTTATAGTCCTCATTTAAAAGAAAGGTCAAATATGACTTTTAATAACAAGATACAGGTTAACAGTTACGGCATTTACCTCGACAGAAGTCTTGCCTAGTGCTCAGGCTTGGGTAGGTTCAGATTTTATGCTACGGCCAATGTAAGGGCTTTAGGCTCTGGTCACACCACACACACACACACACACACACACACACACACACACACACACACACACACTTTAGAATGTATGTCAATGGATGCTTATAACTTTTGCAGTGTTTTCTTTCAGTGCTAGCTTGCGCACTACATTGACATATATTGTCCAAAAAAGGCACATGCCCATTCTTAAAGGAGAACTATGGGGTTAAGGCTTTTCACCATAGTTCTCCTTAGGGTAACGGGAGGACACAAATTAGCGTCCTCCCTGTTACCCTAAGCTCAGTATACCGCGAGCAACAGCTATACTGTGGCGTCTAAGTATACTGAGCTTAGGGTGACGGGAGGACGCTAGTTTGTGCTAGCTACGGGTGGACGCTAGCTACTGCTCGCGGTGTACTGAGACGCCGCAGTTGAAGCGGATCCCGATAATTATGTCTGTATCCGCCCAGTTGCGTGAGTGACAGCTGGCTCTGCCTATCTAGAGGCAGAGCCAGCTGTACCCTCCCCCGTCTGATCCGCCATCGGAGCGGGAGGGGGGAATCCAGCCCCTCCCCTGTCACGGCAGAGGGCTGTGACAGGATCGAGAGGTGATCGAAAAGCACTCACCTCATAGTTCTCATTTAAGACCTTGACATGCAATTAAGGCCCTACTGATGGCAATGGCATCACATGAAAACACATGTAACATATGCGTTGATGCATTTCCAGGGCATAGTAAGCAACCCCTCCCATAGCAACCTCAACTTTACTCAACATCTCATTGGCTGACAGAGCCCAACAAATTAGCTCAGAGCACATAAAACCACTAGTTAAAATTGTTTTTTTTAGAAAACTCACAGAAAAAAGTGTTCACCAAGCCTTAATATACCATACTTTTAAAATTATATATGTTACACAGTACAGTTATAAAAGTGTTGTGTGTGCTAATCAGCCTTGGTTATTGGTACTGTGTGTATAGAGGTAGTTTGTTTATGCTTACCCGTGCCTGACCAAGATAGTCTTCATCCAATAAGTGCAGGGAGGCTTGGGGCACAATTCCTCGTAGAAGCCTTGATGCATGAAAATATCTCTGAAAGCTCAAAAGACGCTTTACTTTTTTCTTAGTGCCAATTTCCCCTGACTGTGCTGGATCTGCGAAGAAGTCACATGAGAAAAATAAAATTGATGGCATAGCAGTCATCATTCTGCAGATTTTAAATTAATTGGATACATTCAAATCTCAGAATTAGATTCTTATAATGTAATACTGTGTTGTTCTAAGCAGGTTATTTCAGAAGCCATGGACAAAATAAGCAACCTTATATAAGTAGAATGTCTACATAGTCGCTCTTCAGCACATGCGCAGACGAGTCCATCCAGCGGAACGGAAATGCGCCAAAGTGGCGCACAGCAAGTGACACAGCACACTCATCACTTCCCCTATATAAATCCAGCCTGAGCACCACGATATTGCTGGATTATCTTCAGCTCTCCTCTGTTCCTGTAATTCTGTGATCTCCTTTTTAATTTGTTGTGACCCGGATCTGCCTTGACGACTCCTGCCTGCTGCCTGCCCTCGACCTCGGGTTTGTTTATTGGACTTCTCTTCTGCCTGACCCTTCTGTACCTTGATCGTTTACTTGGATTTCGGCTTGCACGGTGTTCATCACCACTGGCACTCGTGCCACTCGCTGTCCGCTTAGTCTCTGTACCCATCCCCAGAGTCCTCGGGATACGAGTTGCTAGGGAGCCCTCCTCACACGCACAGTCTCCACTCAGGTACGTGACACTGTGGCATTTAACAGAGCTTTTTAATTTAGAAAATATCACTGTCTTTTCTCTAGTACAATTAAAGGCCTCTGTATGACTGTTTAAACAGGAATTCCAAAATCCAGTTACTATGTGGACTACAAGGCTCCTAAAAGTGAACAAAAACTTTTACCTTCCCTGCTTCTTCATTTTTTGTCCCAGGCGCGCCCACTTCCAGACACTGCAGCTGACAGCAGTAGGGTTTCAGTAACAGAGACAATGCTGTCAATCCAAAAAGCAATCAGCTAGACTAGACCAGACCAGGCTTGTGAATCAGAAGTGACAATGCTGATAGCCATGCCCCCTACAACATTTTTTATCCCAACAGTAGAACAAGCAGGCATAGCCTACATGAGAGTGGCAATGCTCCTCTGAATTCAGGAGCAGTGCACCATCATAGTCACCCTATAACAGGAAGCTGCATTAGGTGGACTTCACCCTAATGAACTACAGAGAAAACTTAACAATTACAAGTGAGTGACAAAGCACACATTTTTAAAATAGGAGACCATCTAGTCTATAGTCATATAGTCTCCCTTTAAACTGACACCAGTTTAAAGAGAGACTGATGGTTTCTAGTCAGTTTTATTGTATTTTATTGCTTTGAGGTTTTAAAGTGATTAATATCTTTATAGATTTGCATGTATATGTGTGTGTGATAGAGATATATATATATATATATATATATAGATAGAGATATATAGATATATAGATAGAGATATATAGATATATAGATAGAGATATATAGATAGAGATATATAAATGTATACCGAGAATGCTGTAGGTTTAATATGCATTATGATCTTGATGTAGAGTGGTGCTTTGCAGTAAAATATAATATATAAAAGCTCATTCAACCCTGCTTTCTTTGTCTATTTCTTGCCCCATTTGTTTATGAGAGCATTGTATACTAATGTTTACCACAGAGGAACTGGTTTCAGGTGTAAACACAGGGCCAGTGCTGCCACTAGGCAAATGCTTAGGGCACACTGCTGGCTAGGGCGCAGCCTCGGCCACTCACCCCCCAACGGTGCCCCACGTCTATTTCAAATTGCAAAAGCCAATAGCAGGCTGGCTATTGCACCCGCCCACAGAGCAGAGGAGTGGAACTGAGAGACAACTTTCTCTCTTAGGTCCGGTCCTCTACTCAGTGGGTGGGGTTTCAATAGCCAGTCTGCTATTGGCTATTTTAAATTAAATGACATCCACCTGCCGCCTGTGGAAGTTAACTGGCAGGAGAATGGGGCCATGCGGGGGGTGATTGGGGGTTGCACCGCGTTAGGGGGGCAAGAAGCTGGTCTTACCTAGGGCGCAAAATAGTCCAGCACCGGGCCTGTAAACACAACTAGTAGATGAACTTCATGTTTCTGTAAAATTGTAACTATGTTAAAAGTATATTTCCACTTTCGTAGCCAAATTGGAATAACACCTATTTTATATTTGTTACATGTTCCCATTCACATAGCATAAGCTATAGAAATGTTTAAAAATGCTTTTACCTGGGTTAGGGTTTCTTGGCTTCTTAAGGGTTAAAATGTCTACTTGCTTCTCCTTCTTTGTAATGTTAGGAGAGGTTGGGAGGGGTTTTGGGTTTGTTCATTATAATTTGTAAAGTAACAAAGGGCTAAATGATTACAACCCTGGCTTCTGCATTGCATGTTAATTAAGTTAATGAGAGAAACATAATCCTGAAATTTCAATCCTAAATCTTTCTATAAGAACAGGTGCTCAGAAAAAAAACTGGATTCCGCCCAGCATGCTCCCCACCACCGGCTGCCTGCAGAAAACTACAGGAGGTGGCGGACACAGACAGGACCAGTCACTCTGCACATGAAGAGAGAGTAGCAGTGAACAGACTGTATTACAGGGAACTCCTACACAGAAACAAAGTTTCACACTGGATTACTGCACAGATCTGGAATAAATCCACAAAGCTCAGGAAGATTCAAGTATGAATATACATGCCTCTTGTATTTAGATAATATTTGTTTATCCCAGAGTTTAGCTTTTGTTAGAGCACATTGAAAACCAGACAAGCATAGGGTGCAAGTTAAAAATACTTTATTAATAAAAGTTTTCACAGGAGCAAGCAAAATCATAAACAGGAACAAGCCAAGGCCAGGAGCCGGAGTGGGTGGTCATACAAGCTAGGTCAGGAACACGGAGATCAGCATTGTCAGGAACAAGCTAGGAGCAGGAACCAGAGGAGACCGTCAGCCAGGATCAGGTCATACACAGAATCAGAATACTCAGAGCAGCAGGAATGCACTAGCAGGAAGACCACGCAAGGTCAGACTGGACTGAGCAGTTTAAATAGTGAGTGGGGTGACATCATCACTCAGAGACAGGAAACTCCCACCTGGCTCTCTCAGATGATACTCCCTGTTTGTCCATAAGTGTAATGTCCAGCAAGCTTGTGTGTGTGGATCTCAGCTGCGGAGTGACTCTGTGGATGGCTCAGTTAGAGGGTTCACTGTCGCACTCTGTATTGAATGAGTGAGGTCGGAACCCCTAGCACATCATACACCACCACAGGATTGTGAACACAATATAGGTCCTCAATTGTCATTCATTGGGGCCGTGTTGGGACTTGTAGTTACACTAGTTAACTCCACTAATGCAAGGCAATACAATGATGGTACTGTTAAGTGGTAGGATAATGATGCACGGTTCAGTTAATCAGGATAGCAGTAATATATATATATATAAGGTAAGTGAGCTGCAGGCATTCAATAGAGTACTGTCGCTTCAAGCCAATGGAGGATATGCAATCTTGTATCAGACTGAGAATACAGGTGGTACTTGCGATTTGGTGTAAACAGTCCAGATACCCCGAGCCACTGGTTGTGGAAGCTTCACGGCTGTGAATCCTCTGGAGGAGGACAGCAAGGTTCAGGATGGTGGAGGTGAATGCCCTAGCAAGTTGCTTGACTTTCTACCTCGCTAGAACGCTGAGCAAGTGAGCCTTGTTAGCTCTTGTAGGAGAGGCAGGTGTGTGTGGGTGGAGTCGTCAGCAGTGGCCCTCCCAACCATCTCCTAGTAACGGAAATGCTGTGTGAAGGCCGGCCTACTCTGCCTGTCACTTAGACACTGTATGTGTCTGAGAGCGACGTCTGAGAGTACAAGCCCTGGAGGGAACGCCACCGGCAGGTCGCCAAGCAACCAGACACCGGTGCGGCTGACCCAGGGGACGGAACCCGATTCCCTGACAATAAGAGAGAGGCTGGGAGTAGTGAGCAACGTTACACAGTCTGCTCAGGCAAAGGAGGAATCACAGGAGCGTGGCATGGCAGCCGAGTCAGAATGCTGCAAACCAGTTAAGTCAGGGTGGAACCCTGACAGCTTTAGGATGGATGCTCTCTCCATGTAAAGTGAATGTCAAGCAAAAAAGCCTTTGTAGTTTTGTATATTGTAGAGAAGGATTAGAGCTCCTGGTGGGTTACTGGTATCTGGGGCTCCATAAGGGAGATTTTCTTTATTCTCATTTAAGAAGTAAGGAAAACTTTGTAACAGGGACTCAGGCAGAAATAAAAATATGACAGGGGTTCTAGCCTTTACAAATATTAAAGAGATATTAAAGTCAAATGTTTCTAAGCTATTTCAAATGCTGATGAAATCACTTAAATAGATGCTGCTCCTTGATGTTTAAAAGGTTCAGTTTCCTGCAAAATCATCTTGTCCTCTGAGCACTGGTCCTGACTTCCTGTTTTAAGGTGGCTCGTTCCCCTTGCAGGGTACTATGGAACCACCATTGTGTGTGCTAGTAAGCTGTGTTTGTCTCCACAAGCACACAGGCAAAGCATGGCAAGACACTCCTTTTCCCACTGCTCCCCTCTCCTTCCTCCCTTCTCTAGGCTGATGGAGACTGCTTGTGACCTTGTACAGGACAAGAAGTTCAGGGAAGCCAAGCTGAGAAAGTTGGAGACAGCTGTTTGGAGATACGATGACTGTCAATGCTTGGGCAAAAATGTAAAGAAATTATTTGCTGGGCAATGTATATTTGTTTAATCAGGATACATTATTGAAACAAAAATTTGAGAGTTTAATATTTAAGTATATATAAAAATATATAAGCTATTTTTTTTTGAGAATTAAGAAAAAAACGCTGTAATTGGTAATATTGACATAAAGCTACCCATAAAATTCCCCTTTTGTATTCTGAGGAGTATACTAGTAAAATTCTATACTGAACCTTATTTTCATTTATTTCAACTGTCTATACACATTGATATCAGTATGATATTAGTGGTACAGTAAAATAATTTAAAAACAGTTAATGGAAATCTTCTACTCTTACTAATGAATATAATTGCAGTTTATAGTGATGTAGTTACAAGTCATAC